AGAATATAATGGGGGGCACAACCTGATCCCACATTTTTGCACCGGGGGGATTAACCACTTCAAACCAAGATGGTTTTGACCCTGAAATGGACTGATCGGTCTTCTGCATATAAAACAATCAAATAGGTTGAAGCTCCTTGATGGCCCATCCACTGCCAATAGGTGTGCAAGTTAAATGCTAAAATGCTCATGTTTAAGCAGTCCTCAGCTGAAATGCCCTCACACTCACCTGCAAAATATGCCCCTCTGTTCACAGGTGGCAAAACTAGGAGACACAGTTGTCCATCTCCAAAAAGTTTTCTGCAACCTTTTTGCACCCTCCCTTTGGTGGCAATGGAAGTGCCTCATTTAATTTCCCTCACTCCCACTTCTTTGCACTTATACTTGCTACTTCCAGTGGCAATGGTGGTGCCTTCCAGAAGCCATGATGCAGTGTGATTCGAAGAGTGCCCCAGGGAGAGGGAGAGAATGGAAGCCTGCTCTTGGTTCTCCCCTACTTTGGCAGGCCAGAGACCTCTGGGTGCAAGGGAGACCTCCAGTGCTACTGGCTGCCACAGCTCACAGTTTCCCCAGCCACTCTGGGCGGCTCCCAATCGAGTGTTAAAACAATACAGCATTAAATATTAAAAACTTCCCTAAACAGGGCTGCCTTCAGATGTCTTTTAAAGATAAGATAGCTGCTTATTTCCTTCACATCTGAAGGGAGGGCATTCCACAGGGTGGGGGCCACTACCGAGAAGGCCCTCTGTCTGGTTCCCTGTAACTTCACTTCTCGTAATGAGGGAACTGCCAGAAGGCCCTCAGCACTGGATCTCAGTGTCCGGGCTGAACGATGGGGATGGAGACGCTCCTTCAGGTATGCAGGACCGAGGATCTAAACTACCTCACTTTTGAACCCTGTGCCTCATTTTGGCTGGATACCAGGTAGAGAATTCCATCAGAAATGGGAATAGCAGCAGAAATTGCCACAATTTGCATGGTCGTCTGAAGTCAGAAATGGAAATCACACAAGGAAATATGAGCAGTGGTCATATTCATCTTGTTGAGTTTGCAAATCTTCCATAAATAATTACATTATTTTCTGCATTGTTTCTGATGCTTCCCTTCCATTGAAATAAATTACACACAGGCAACTCCCATTTTAGCTGCGACCGATAGTGATTGCACACACACGCACAGGACCAAACCTGGAAATGACCCAGAAACTTCACAAAGACATCACCAAAACGTCACTAAAAGAGTGGAACAGGGATGGAGCGGGAGCGGAATAGAGTGTTTGCAGGCTTTTCCAATGGATTCTGATTTCACACAATTTCACATAAGCGCGCAATGACCAGGAACACAACCCCCCCACAAACAGGGCGTTGCCTGTAATTAATTATTTTTGTTTTAACCATGATGGACAGTGAGACAAATAATGCAGTCTTTTGTGGAAGACAAATTGTGGTGGAACGGAAACAGCGCTGATTGCAACAAAGTCAGGGTGGACAGAAATCACTGCCTCCTTACACTGGGACTAGGCGCAAGCATATCATTTTGGAGAAGACACAGCATCGCACCACCTTTTCAGAGCCGCATGAGAGCCCAAGAGGGCCGAATGTGCTGTTCTGAAGAGCCCCTTTCCATACCGAAGGACACATGAATGTTAGAAGAGAACCACAATCCCAGTAGAGTGTTTGCAGGCTCCTCTTCCTTGCTCCCTCCCACTGCCCCAAGCAAGGCATTTGAACAGGGTGTCAGAAATGACAAAAGAACGCATTAATCTTACTACACCCAACAGCTCACCTACAGATCTACATGGCAATCAAACTCAGTGTCCCAACCCTTCCATTGGTTACATAACCGAGTCTTTGTTTTTTAGTTTTTTAAAAAAATAACAGTGCTTTGGCTTTCGGCAAGTCATTTATTTGAAATATCTCTATCAACAAATTTCAGCAGGAACAAAAGTTTTCCATTTGGCACCTGCTTATAGCATGATGTTATCGTAGCCAATCTCATACAGTCTCTTTCAGCAAGGTCTTTAAAGCACTTTATCTCTCAGGCTCCTGGTAGCGAAATATGATTGAAATGTTCTATTTATGCTCAGTGGATTAAGGCTATTTTATTGCCACACACATAAAAAAAAAAGGAAAACCCTTGCAGATGTAAGCAAGGTATTATAGCCATCCACGCTGTTAAGATCTGAAAGAGAAAGATCAATAGACAAGTCGACCATTTTCACTAAAGTTGTGCTTTTAAGAAAGAAGGAATGGAGGGGGTGAGAGACCCACGAAAACACATTCAAAGTATGTGGGTATTGATTCCCAATTATACACTCCCAAAACGGCACAGTCCAGAAAAATGATCTGCACTTTTTAATATTCGACATCTGAGTGACATCATAAATTCCTAATCTCTTGTGCATCCTGAATAAGTAAATAAACGTCCCTCTAAGCAAAGTAAAGCCACAACGTGGTGCAGAAGGGATTATGGAGGGAGACACACACCGTGGAAATCTCCTTCTGCTTCAAGAGAAACCAAGTGATCCTCCTGGGGAGGTTTGTGCCACAGGTTAATACGAATGCACAGGTGAAGACAATTCTGCTGGACTGGTGCTGAACAGGCTGACACAAATAAATCAGCCCCAAACTAGCAAGCCACCCATCTACAAGCTTTGCCTGCCATTGTTCTAGCAGTTGGAAATTTAGGAGTCTTTTTCCTAAACAGCACAGCAGATTGCTATAGCTTGCACATGTCCCACTCTTAAAGGGGGAGAGTCAGAAAAGTATGTTTTTATGAAGCCCATCATACATGTATATTTATCAAGCAAAGCTCTAGGAGTAATACTACTAATCATTTAAGACTCCAACTTCTTATAACCCTTCATATCAAAGTCAACCAATGGGGAAGGGCCATAGAATCAGGGGAAGAACATATGCTTTGCATGCAGAAGGTACTGGGTTCAACTGGCATCATCTCCAGGTACACCTGGGGGGATGTACCCTGGAGAGCTGCTGCCAGTCAGTGTAGACAGTACTGAGCTAGGTGGACCAATGGTCTGACTCAGCATAAGGCCATATGGTAACTGAAGATGGTTGAGGCTTCTACTGAATTTCGGTATGCTGGTTTTGTGAATGTGATCCCATGTGACCAGACTGTGCACAGCTGAGCATATCCTGGGTCAAGGGGGCCATGCTAGAAAACAGCTACTGACTTATCGAACCATTCAGAGAGTCCACACAAAAAAAGAGCCAAGTCATGTGAGCTAAGTGGTCTTCATTCAGGTTCTGAATACTGTCACCAACCACCTCCTACAGTGGCCTCTATCTTCCCTCAACTGCCACCACAGGGGCAGAGGGGAGGGGAGAAGAAGCAGTAATATTGATATTATCCATTCTACTGTAACATTATATATATCACAAGAAGATCAAACCTATCCATTCCTAAGGAAATCAGCCCTGAGTGCTCACTGGAAGGACAGATCCTGAAGCTGAGGCTCCAATACTTTGGCCACCTCATGAGAAGAGAAGACTCCCTGGAAAAGACCCTGATGCTGGGAAAGATGGAGGACGCAAGGAGAAGGGGATGACAGAGGACGAGATGGTTGGACAGTGTTCTTGGACCAAACTGCAGGAGGCAGTGGTGACAGGAGTGCCTGGCGTGCTCTGGTCCATGGGGTCATGAAGAGTTGGACACGACTAAACAACTAAATAACAACAACAACAACAACCCACAGCTTTAGTTCCACCTGAAATATAATTGTGAAGCGGGAGGCAATGCCTACAGTTGAATACATCAGTGATACATCCTTTTTCTATGCAGGTGCCAATTGTATGCAGAAGGTCTCAGGTATGAAACCTAAAATCTCTTCTCACAGGTAGAAGGGCTGGGAAAGTCTTCTACCTGAGACCACAGAAACCAGCTGCCAAGATACAAAGCCAATACCGTAGGCCTTGTTTGCCAAGGCGACAAACCTGGACTAGGAACAACCAAGGAACCTAGTCCTTCAAGCAGCTAAAAATTGGACAGTGGTGCTCATGAAAGTTTGCCTTTCTTCACTCTCCCTGTGGAGCCAATGCCAACGAATTTGTGGTGGACTGTTGGCTTCAAGGAACTGGATGGACTTTACTTCAACACTGCGAATATTTAAGTAAGCCAAAGGCCCAATCATAGACGGTGGCTGGAGATCTTGCAAAGACAACCTACTCAGGAGAGAAGTTGTCTCCGAACAACAAGCATGAAGCTCTTTAAACTATTGAGGAAGACCAGAGTTTGTGGGGGGAGAGAATTGCTGCACTCTTGCCTTCCGCAAAGGCCACTGGAAAGAACAAACAATCAGACGCTGGACTGAAAAGCAGGGGGCCTCTCGCAAGCAGTAGGTAATTAAAAAGGCCTGTAAAATCTCCTGCAAAAAAAAAGAAAAAAAGCAGCACTTCAAAGAGACCGTAATTCCAGCACTGACCAGTCAGGACTGTGTGGTGTAAAAATTATGAGTTTTCCCAATGGGGTGCTTTGTGTGAAAAGGCAAAGGGGATTGGTGGCAAGTGATTCGGCACCACTCGGGGAGAATTTTATGTTTGTGTGTGTACAAAGGGTGTGCGCGGGCATTTGTCAACGCAAGCCGAATCCACCCGCACACAGGAACAGCAGGGGGGCCGGAGAGGAGAAAGGCTCACACACAAGGCCACACTGCTCACTCGGGCCTTTGTTCCAGCCAAGCCAGAGCAACTGCTGCTGCTTGGGCGCTGCTGCGGCAGCAGTTGTTAACCCAGGACGGAGGGACATTGAACGTAAGGGCAGCCTGGCTAGGTCAGGCCTACAGAGGCTTCCCACATGGAGTGGCTAACCTCCTGGAAACCCGCAAGCAGGACTGAAAAGCAACACACATTTTTCACTCCAGCACCTACTCCCCAAAGGCATATGCCACCACCCCAAGGCAGATTTCTCATATATCTCATATAACCAAAGAGTTGGAAGGGACCCTGAGGATCGCCTAGTCCAACTCCCTACAATACAGGAATTTGCAGAGGTCCCTTGTGGGGATCGAACCCGTAACCTCGCCATTATCAGCACCATGCTCTAACCAACTGAGCTATCCAGCAGGCATGGGAATCTAAGTTCCATGGACTTCTTTAGGAATGGAAGAAACTTCCACCTTCAATTACTCTGACATGGTGTTCTTTTCACCAATATATGCATTTGGGGGCACATTTTGACCTAATACACTCACTTTTGTACACATTTTTCAGGGGGTGGGAGACCTGTCCAATTCTGAAGCAACCACCAATACATTTCATTGAGTGACCCGAAGTTCTAGCATTACACAAGAGGGTCGCTGGTGGTGGGACACCTGCTTTGCCTGCAGAAAGTTCCATCCCTGGCAGAATCTCCAAATAGGGATGGGGATGTCCCCTGTCTGAAACTGTAGCAAGTTGCTACAGTGTGGGCAATCCAGAGCTTAGAGGGACAGATGGTCTGACGCAGTATAAGTCAGATTCTCATGTTCCAAAGTTAAAAAAGAAAACAGAGGGGTTGACAACTTCTGGAGTAGCTCTCCTGGGTTTTGGGCTGGAGACAACCCCAGTCCAACCTGGAGATGTCAGAAATTGAACCTGGGAACCAACTGCATGCTAAGCAGATGCTCTTCCAGCGAGTTTTGGTCCTTCTTAAATTCCAAATAAAAATACTACTACTATATAATGCCCCTCTTAAAATGGGGGGGGGGGTGAGAGAAGAGAAAGAGAAAAGGGGATCACTCGGGATACTTCTGAAATACCTGAAATTCCAGACATTAATGAAGAGGGTTTATAGATACAGTGGTACCTCGGGTTACATACGCTTCAGGTTACAGACTCCGCTAACTGAGAAATAGTACCTCGGGTTAAGAACTTTGCTTCAGGATGAGAACAGAAATTGTGCTCCAGCGGCACGGCGGCAGCAGGAGGCCCCATTAGCTAAAGTGGTGCTTCAGGTTAAGAACAGTTTCAGGTTAAGAACAGACCTCCGGAATGAATTAAGTACTTAACCCGAGGTACCACTGTATAACCTTTTCTCTCTCCTTTGGATAATATAAAATTTATGCTGCATTTGTTCATAGAACCTGTTGCATGTACTATGGACAAAGCAGATTATGAATGCAGCTATATAAAGGTCACTTCCCCACGGCGACCTGTTTGCAAGCCAGAGTCAAAGCATTCTCTATTTTTGCTTGAGAAAACCCCTCAAAGCAAAACATTTCCCATCCAGTAAGTGTCAGAGTCACGGGCAATTTCTAAGACGAGCCAACTTTGCCCATCACACGGGAAGTGTGAGCTCTTGCTGCCCTCTCAATCCTGTGTCAGAATAGCGGTGGTTTTCCCCATTTGTGCAAAAATCTGTTGATTTACATATATATGAGCCACACATTTATAGGAAATGTAGCAAGGCAGTGTAAAACATGAACATTAATACTACAACAACAACAGCAGCAGCACTGTTGCTAAAAGCATCAAGGGAACGTCAATAAAACTGGCTGGTTACAAAAAGTGGCCTGTCTGAATGGTCCAGTTTTTGAAAGATGTCTAAAAGAAAGCTGATGCAAATCTTTGGTGAAGTTCCCAGTCTAGAAGTGGCCCCCAGTTTGCTGCTGGCCTTTAAAACCAAAATTCATCAGCGAAACAAACTGAGACTAGCTGACTATGCCGGCCCCAAGAAATCAGAAAGTAGCACCTCAGAATTATCAGTGCTATGCAATAGATATTGGTGCCGCTTGGAAAGCTAAAATCACCCCTGACCGGCCTTTCTAGGTTCCTGGCCTATTATTTTGGCCAATAAAAAGTGGACATTCACTTGTCCCACTTTATTGACCTTTCTTTCCAAAGAGATATACCATCGATCCCGTTTTCTTTGGTGTTTCTGTTATCTTAGGGATGGGTGAATTTCTGTTTCTTTTGTTTTCTCCTTTCCCCACTCTTGAGTTCTCCACATTTCCACATAATTTTGTACATTATTATTGTTTTTAAGTCCTCATGAAAATTCCATCAGCATTTTGGGGGAAATTTCTCTCTTAAGATACACATTTCTGTATGCAATTTTACCGAATACACACATTTTTCCAAACCAGATTCCCCCTAATATTTACATTCCCCCCCTAATAAAATGCATCCTGTATGTTATTTTCAATAATATATGCAATTTAATGCACAGATCCCCCTGGTATGTGCATTATTGTACATCGCTTGGCTGGAGAGCTGCAATGCAAAATTGGAACAGTGCAAAATTCAAGGGATGTTCACATTTCGGGTTCGCATAGCGTTTCCTAAAAGTTTGAATTAGTTAGATTGGTCTTTACATGTCAAATGAGTCAAATTTCTCCTCCCATCTCTGTTTTTTGTACACTGCCCTGTGGGGCCCTTGTTAGGGTTGAAAGCCAGTTTGTAAAACTAGTTTTTATTTTTATAAATGCATACAATGGGTGACAACTTTTAACCCACTGTAAACCAAAGAGTACTTGCTTGCAGCCCAATACCCTAAACTCTCCCACTTTTTTTTTAAGCTGCACATAAAAACACTTTTTATAGTATATTTATTTAACAAGCTCCCCCTCCGACCCCCCCTTCTTTCTCTCCTTTTCTTGTTTAATGAGGAAGAAAAGGGTGCTTTGCTCCAAAGGGGGAAGGGCATAAAAACTCTGAGTTGGCATTCAGAAGGGCCTGAGAGTTTGCACAAAGATTCTCTTCCTTCAGGCAGACTCGGCAAAACCGAAAGAAGTACAGATTTTAGGACATTTGATTTTCTTATTTTTTTTTTATTTTAAACGAAAGTATATGTATAATTCTGCTCCAACTCCTCAAACAGACTGAATACAATGGTTAGGAAATTTGACAGAAAACTATTCCCGGTCATTTATTGCCTTAATACGCACCTTTGTCCAACAGGCAGTTTTGACAAGAGCAATAAATTCCAAATTTATGTCAACAGAGCATATGTTGAACACCTCATTTCTGAGCTAAAGCGGCATGCCGCCCCATAAATCACCGTTCTGTTTGAAATGAAAGTAGATTACAGGCCTGGGTTATTGAGCAGTTAGAGCTACAGTCATATAAATCAGAACTTTTAACTCTGGGCGATCCGTCGCGCAATTAACTAAAGGGTGCTTTGTCATTTCAGGGCTCGGGCACAGGCTTCGTGAGGCGCATAGAGCTACTGGGGGGGCATGGGGTGTTAAGGAGGGAGGGAGAGGGGGGAGTTTATTTGGCAACTGACAGATTTGGTGCACCATCGTTATACTAAATACCTGTCGGACTAGTTAATTTTACAGCCAACTGACTAATCCTTTCCAACATTTGCCGCTAAACGCAGATGGGGGCAGTGGGGGGCAGACTTGCCACCTCTGCGTTTAGGATCCTAAGTAGTTGCTTGGGGAATCTAACGCAGCAGCTGCAATCCAAGGTGTGCGCCTCTTGAGCCTTCCAACGCAAGGGATCCTGTCTATTCCTTCACCTCTAGCAATTTTTGGTTGCAACTGAAGGGCGATTACTGCCATCACTGCTACGCCCACCTTCCTCTTGCGGTTTAGACCCTGCAAAGACTAGAAGGTTACATCCAACGTGACAAAAGCAACTCAACTGCTGCAACGTCTTCTCTCCATAAACTCCGGAAACTTTCATTTGTGAAGGTTGCTTAAAAATATCGTGTCCGAGAGCCTCAACTGAGCGAAAGATGCCAGGGTTCCTAGAAAGGGGAACTGACTATTGGTTCAGTTCGATGCGCATAGTTAAGCAGCAAACCCCAACCTGGTGCCCACCATGACTACAACTTCCATCAAGTCCAGCCAGCATGGCCATATTAACTGAGCCTGGTGGGAGCTGTATTGCAAAATCCGAGGGAGGCACAAGGTTTGGAAAGGGCTATAGTAGAATTATATCTTCCCTGTGGCAATAGCAGATGTAGAGAAGGTTTTAAGGTCAATTTCTGGCATCTCCAGTGTTTGGGGAGAGGGTTAAGGAACAGGTTGCAAGAACTGGACGAAATCTTCCCTTGCCCAATGCCCTGGAAAGCTACTGCCAGTCAGAGCAGACAATACTAAGCTAGATGTACAAATGACCAACTAGGAGTTTAGAAGGTCATTCTTTTGGATGGTTGAATTATGAAGCAGAGGAGGAATCTTGCATGACCCAATGTGAATCAGTGGCCAGTCACTCTTGCATCCCTGCAGATAAGGTCTCCTCAACAATCAAGACTGGAGGGTCATCTCTTCCAACCCAGTGTAGACAAAGATAGGCCTGATGTCCTATTACAGAACTGCAAAGTTCAGCTCAGTCGGTGTGGATCCCTACCAACGCTGCAGAACATCTCTGCTGGCTTTCCAACAAGGAAGGCATATGCCTCTTCTTAGTAGACTTCCCATCCTTTCAGCTGGGTGCTATGATGACAGACCAGAAAACGTACATGCAGCAGATATTTAAACTGTGGAACTCACTTCCACAGGAGGCAGCGATGGCTCCAAACTTGGGTGGTTTTAAAAGAGGATTGGACAAATGCATGCAGCACGCAGCTACCCATGGCAACCAGCCATGTTGGCTATGATCTGCCTCCATGGTCGGAAGCAGTAATGCTTCTGAATGCCAGTTGCTGGAAACCAAAGGAGACGAGAGTCCTCTTGTGCTCAGCTCCTGCTTGCCAGTTTTCCACAGAACCTAAGAACAAGATGATGGACATCTGCAGATGAACCACTGGATTGCCCCAGCAGGCTCTTCTCATGTTCTTCCCAGGATGAGAGGAATCTGCCTTTCTATTACAACCCCTTGTGGCAGTTTGCTGCTAGATCTTGATATATCATTGAAAGATGCTGGTTGGACTAGCAGCCCCTGGAACAGAGCTGTCAACATTTTCCTTTTTTAAAGGGAAATCCCCTTATTCCGAATAGGATTCCTCGCAAGAAAAGGGAAAAGTTGACAGCTATGCCCTGGAAGAATCCAAAACATCATCTATGCACCGAGGGAACGCCCAGATGCTCAGGACCAGAATAAGGAGGTAGCTTACTGGATGATTGGGAAACGAAACTGGTCAACTGTCAACTCTAAAGCTGAACTGGTTGCGTATCCCCTAAGACACAGAAAAG